ATTTTTTTGTCACCCGAAATCGTGCTAATACCACACTTTTCCTAGCACTCAAGCAAAACGTAGCACTTTTTTTACCTACCCAAAACAACCTTAAAATGTGCTTGAAACTGTCGTGAGAACACAACTTCACCAAAAAATCAACGACAAAAAACCATGTGGCGGGATAAATATGTATACACATAATCTGCAGATAATACCACATATAGCAATGTAAACGAACATGTAAATTCCCAAATAGATGAATATAAACAAGACATAAGTAAACAATCATAAGTATACACACATATATAATTATATACATATAGTCTCATACAGTTATATGTGCATTCAAAAAGTGCACACACATGTAGAGGTATTATAAAATATATGTATGTACATGCACATATGCATATATGTACATACGCATACATACATATACATATATGTGTGTGTATATATATATATATAAATGCATACAAAACATATACACATACATATACATATACATACACATATACATACAGACACACATATACATACATACATACATACATACATACATGCACATACATACATTCATACCATGTTGTTTGTATATATTTTCTATATTAATATTTATGCTCATATAGTACATATGTACATATATTATGTGTATATGTATACAAAACCTGAGAGCCGAGGCCTGGTCATGCGGAGACGCTGGCGTTCCCTTTGATCCTCGACCATGCGCAGAGCTCAGACCACGGAGCTCTCCGAAGCATCTAGAGTATAGTGTAATATACTCGAACATTATGTTATGTTATGTTGCGTTTTTTGATTATAGCATATCATATGATATCATATGATATCACATTGTATCATATTGTATAACATCTTTTCATACTGTATTATGTATTGTTCATGAAGGCGGGGCTGCAAAAAGACGAACTGACTGTCAGTTCTCTGAAGTCTGTATATAAGAGACAAACGGTTAAGGTAAACAGACAACAGCACTTGTCCATGTTACAAGATAAAAACGCAACGGGAGTCGCATTGGGTCCAGGAGCCTATCGAAACTTCGGCAACGAGCATGGGTCATATGCCTTAATCGTGCATGTCCTGTTATTCCAGTACCTGCAAAGACAGTCATGCAGGCTGACAAAATCCTTGTCCAAGAGTTCCTGGATAAATGGTTGTAAGATAGGCTGTAAGACATTGGATCTTGAGTATTGAGCACAGCAGTGGCCAGGGCCAGGGCTTTCGGTTTTAAGTTTCGTCAGACTTTCTGTTGCTTTGAAGGGTCCAGGACACACGGGCTCAGTCCCAGGAGCGCAGTGCAATGCATGGAGGAAGGCAGAGCTCTTGCCAGAATATATGAGAGCAGCAATGGGGGAATCAGCTGAAATTGTGCCCATTGTCTTGCTACCTGTTCTTGCGAATGTTTGGTGGAGCCTTGTACCTCGATAAAGATCACAATTACATTCCCGCACGGTAGGCTGCAATGCCAAGTGACTTTCTGCAGCTAAACCGTCAGATTGCAATTCGAGCACTGGCCCCAAGTCCAGCACTGCGATTCAGCACCAGCTGTTAAAGCACTTGCAGGTTGCAAGTTTAGGGGTTGTTACGTTGGGTTTCGGTTTCTTGGAATGTAGGGAGTAAAGCTTTAGGGGTATCACCGAGGAGTCTTTAGATTCAGAGTTTAGGGTTTCGGGCTTTGGCCTTGTAGGGTTCCAGGGTTTGGGGTTATAGGGTTTAGGATTTTAAGGGTCAGCTTTTGGTCCCTTCACTGCTGGTGTGTGATGAGGCTGTGTACATCGAAGGTCCTGCAGACACTTCCGCGAAGTTGGAGGGCGAGGCGGCAAAGTGCTTCTGGAGTTGCTAGGGTTTGCGTCTGCCTTTCGGAACCGCGAGAGCGACGGTCCCCCCCCGTAGTGGCCGTCCGCAACAGGGATGCAGCGCAGTCGGGGCATCGGCCCCATCCCCACTATTTTAAGCGATGTAGAGGGAAAGTCATCCGACAGTTCTTGGGTTGTCTTTGGGAATGCCGGCATCACATCGTATCGCAGTGCAATTGCCAGGAAGGATTGATTGTGGCGGCGGGTGGTGCTGCCAACACAGTAGTGCCTTGTGCTTAGTAGATTGATTCACAAACGGCAGCACGAGTGCATGGTACACACAACGCATCGGCTTGGTTCTGCGAACTCTTGTTTCTCCAAGGTTGAGTCGCTTGCATCTGCGGGTTGTTGGAGGGGGCCCTGCCCTGCTTCTTGCTGGTGGCTGCAGCGTGGAGCGCTGTGAGGCTTGGGGCGGGCAGCAAGCCTTGCCTTTCGACACTTTGACATGCTGTCAGATTGATACGTGCGGAAATGGCGTCGGTGGGGTGCTGAGCAGAGCAGAGACAGTGTCTGGAAAGCAATTTTGTTGGCTTGTCAGCTTCTCATGGAGTTTTGCGCCGCTGCCTCTCATGCCATGCCACTGCTTAGAGCCATGGAAAAAACTGGAGGGTTCCTTCCTGTTTAACTCGCTTCGGACGAATGCTTGCCGGAATCGTCAGTTATGAGGCATCGAAGTTGCAGCTCATTCTGGAAGCGCTGTTCAGATTCTGCGCAGCGTAATTCGCGACTGCCAGGCTCCGAAGTGACCGGTTCCTTTCGGAGTGATCGTTTTGATTGACTTCTGTTGGGGGCATGACAGGTGGGCATTTCACTGGCAGGGGGTGCTGCAGCCGCGATTCTCGAGGCCAACATCAGGAATCCAGTTTGCCAGTTGAAGGGTCGCGGCCTGTATACCGACGGGAAAGCAGCTCTAAGCCAGCAAATGCTTGCACTCCTTAACTGGGCTCTGCCGGCAGGGTACTCACATCGAACGCTGCGCTTGCGGCATCTCTCTGACTGGTCTCGACGTGGAGGACTCTTGGGAATGCTTGGAGCAGAGACATGACGCGAATCCTCAAATTGCAGGAGGGCTGGAGCGACGCCTTGGTCTCCCTTTCCGGGGCCTCCCTGGCGCTGAACTCCGAGGCGCGGGGACGCGTTCCGCGCCGCGTTCCGTTCGGAGAGTGAGGCCGACCTGCGCTTGCGGGCCTGGAGCATCCGAGAGAAGGCTCTGTGCGGTGCGTCCGCGCCGTCGGCGCCTTCCCCTCCGGCAGGCTGGGGAACTCCGGCAGGCCCCTCCCGGACGAGAGATCTCCGCCTGAAGACGACTCAGCTTCTGCAATCAGAGATGCAGTGCCATAAAGACAGCCGGTGCTCCGTCAGGTGGCTGGCCGTCGGAGCAATGCAATGTTGTCGTGGCGGCCTTGCGTCTGTTCTCACACACAACACACAAGCTTACCAGACACGGCCGCCTGCGGTTGAGGCGCCTACGGATCGAGGTCCTGTGGTGCTGCATTTCGATGCGGGCAAGGTGCCTTTCTTCTGCCTCTCCGCCCATGAGAAGTTGGTGTTCGACAGGTCAATGCCACGCTCTGGGATGGCGAGGACGACGAGGTGGAACAGGAGCAAACTGACGGGCAGAGCATTTTGAGACGGGAGCCGCTGCCGCGTTGGCCCTTTAGAGGATGCAGACAGCAATGCCTGCAGTTCAGGCCTCAACGCGAGTTGTTGTCCTGGGTCCCCAAGCACGCAGCACAGCTGCTGCCTGACCTACGACCTACGCTGTAGCATCCGACAGAGGACTGAGAGTGACCGAAGAACAGGTGCCACGGGGCCTGCTCGACATGTCTGTGCAAGGCTCGTCCTTCCACGAGCTCGACATCGAACCTGAGCCTGTCGGGGTCCAAGTGCACAGGATGGGATGACTGCCCGGCTCTCGTGTTGCACTGCAGGACTTCGTGGACAGAAAGCTGTGAAGCAGTGATCCTCGAGCTGGGGCAACTTGCCTCCTTGCATCCACGTACTGCAGTAGGTCCAGTAGGTGCCGAGCTGGCCGAGCCTGTCGGGAACCATCGTGTCGGCGAGAAGGACGCGGCACATGCGGCACAGAACACTGCACCGGTGGCGTCCGGATACACCTGATACGCGCGCCTAAGACCGCAAAGAAGTGGGGGGGGGGAGTGTGTGTTGCCATGATTGGGTGAGAACTCTCTGCTCTCTTCTCACTGCTTCGCCGCCAGGTCCCAGGCTAAGAGGCTCAGAGCCGGAATATAGCGGAGTCTCCTACAGTAGCGGAGTCGCAGCGTCATTGAAGAATGGCGGCGCGTTTGCTCGATGACCTGGGGCTGCTCCCCTGGGCTGGGATGCTTGACGTGGCTTCCGGGCTTCGATTTCGAGCAACGTCTCGATTTGCAAAGGCGTTCTGCTCGGCTCGGGAAGGCGCTGTGGTTTTTCCCTTATCGATTTTCGCTCGCTGCAGGGCATGGCCAACCGACACCTCGACGTCGGAGCCGTGCTGGCACGTCAGCTGACCTACGCCAATGAGGCCACTGCCACTCCAGCCTTCATGGCCAGTTCAGATCACAGCTGCTTTGGGGGCCACTACTGGCTGCAGCACCTTAAACCAGCCCAACTTGGCCCTATAGAGATTGAGCACTTGTCAGCTGACGATCCTGTTGCAACCTCTCATTCTCATGGCATGCATTTATATGCATTTGCATGCATCAGCACATCTCTTGCTACATCTTTATCCTAATGCCCCTAGGGCTAACGGTTTCTTGCACACGGCGAGGGATGCTTGTGAATGCTCGAGTCACAACGGTGGGGTATGATCTTCGTTACTGTGCCGGCAGAATCGACTGCGTTTTCACTCCACCAGGCAAGCGAAGCGGCCTGCAATTCTGTCGCTTCTTTCTGGAGACGCTTGATTGCAGGAGATTGAACGTACCACTCACGAAAGGCGCTGTTGAAGCCACCAATGAAGTTTATAGGCTGTCGGCCGCCTAAGGAAAGCTCGCGGCCCTTCGGAAGTTTTGTGAGCGCGGCGGGCGCGGCCATGTGGACGTGGCGGGGGCACTGCAGCAAAGACTTCAGGACTCTCCATGTCCGGAACTGGTCGAATGCTTACTCCGCACCGATCGTCTTGATGTTGTGTTGCTCCTCGTGAAGTGCACCCTCGCCTCGCTCTCGCTCTCCTTCTCTCCCTCTCTGACTTCACTTTCTGTAGTCTGCTTGGACTGTGTCGCATGAGGACCCTGACTGGCGCGTGCGGCAAGCTGTCATCACAGTACTCCCGGAGGTTTTGGAAAGCAATGTTCGAGCCACGATGAACGTGACAGTCAGTGAGCTGGTGGCAGAGAAGGCGGGTCCGGAGGCCAGAAACCCCAGTCAAGTTCTGCCTGCATCTGCCGGCTATAGGTCTTGAAAGATGAGTGTGTGGACGTGCGGGAGAGCGCGGCGAGCTGTTTGCCCTCCCTGGCGGCACGGGGACACGAGGCTGTGGTCCATGCATTGAAGCCAGGCCCTCAGCTCGGAAAATCTCAGAAAGAATGCGCTTCCCGCTGCCGCTGGCTGCAGGTCTGCCTTGTCAGCCGCTTGGCTCCACACAGCGGTTTCGGCGGCGGGGGGGGGGGGGGGGGGCTGGCCGCCGCAAAACTGCAACGTGGGAGAGCCACAGCAAATAAGGATCGGGAGCATATCGTGCGAAGAGCAGCCGTGACCAGTTTGTCTCAACTGTCGCTTGCAGACTCGTCGGCCAGCTCTGCAGTGCTCGGTCGCGTGATGGACATTGACATGGAAGTCAGACGAGCCGCCTTGATATCGGCCCGACAGATATATCGAATGGCCAGCGAAAAGGGCTGGTTGTTGCAGTATGCACAAGCATTTCTGGGGCGGCTTCGTGGGGACCCGCACATCGAAGTGCGCTTGGCCGCCGTGGATTGCTTAGAGACGCTTTGCGCAGAAGATCAGCGGGTGGTGTGGGAGCTGGTGCATGCAGCTGGGACGCCCGAGCAGTCGTGTCGGGTTCGGGAGCGGTGCCTGGAAGCTCTGCTTCAGTTCAGCTCAGAAGCTGGCTCCCAGTCACCCGCAAGGGAGAATGTGCAAGGTCAATGCTTGGGAAGTCAGCTTGTTCCCAAGATAGCCGGGGTACTGCACGCGGCATTGCAGCGGACGCAGCCACCGCAACTGCGGATTTCAGCTGCCCGATACCTCGCGTGTGTAAGTCATCCAGCTTATCGGGATGTAGCAGAGCTGGGTATGCTTGACACTGACCTGAGCATTCAGAGCTTATGCATGACAGCCTTCTTGAAGATAGGACGCGGAGGTGAGCGGTCGAAGCGCCTTTGTGCTGCTTGGGCCTTGAGGAACCTGAAACATACGTCCAGAGAAGTTCGTTTGGACGCAGTTGGCAAATTGAAATTACTCGGCAGAACAGGCGATGAAGCATTGGATGCCGAGATTTTGTCTGCCCTGCTGCTTCGGTTGGAGGACGCCTCGGATATCGCAGCTGTTGCTCTGGATGCATTGGCAGCCTGCGCCACAGTCGGCAGCGTCACAGCCATCCGGTCTTCGAGTCGGACATTCCCTACCGCTGTAGATCCAAAAGTAAAATGCGCTGCAGCGAGAGCCTTGGCACAGGTAGCGAAGACCGGTGATGAGACTGCATTATCAGCTCTTTGCCAAGGGCTCGCTAAGAAAGCTCATGGAGAAGTCATCTGTGCGGCTATTCAAGCCATTGGTACTTTGAGCCGTCGAGGTGATGCTTCTGTGCTTGCCATGCTGGTGGATCTCTTGCCTGGGCTAGGGTATGATGGCCGCGATGATGGAGATGCTCTTCGGGAAGCTCTCCTTGCACTTGCTCGGCTGGCGCGTCGGGGCAACGGGGTTGTCGCTGCCAGCATCTTGAGGATCCTGGAGCGAAAGCCAGAGGCAGGCGTTCAGGTCGCCTCTGTGCAGGCGCTGCAAGCCGTTGCAAGGAAGGGCGACGCGCGCGCCATTGAATGCCTGCTTACGCTGCTCAGATCTGTAGAGCCATCCGTATGTGAAGCTGCAGTGATAGCTGTTGCGGAGCTCAGCAAGCGGGGGGACGCCACGACAATCTGCAGTTTATTGCCGCTGATTTCTGGTGCGACCCACGACCAACCGAGACTCCGAATAGCAGCAATTCGGGCCACCGCGGCGCTTGCGACCCGTGTTTCCGAAGGAAAGCACAGCGACGCCACGGCTATAGCTGCAGTTGTGGACTGTCTCAAGGACGCCGCAGATCCTCGTATTTTGTTTGGCATGTTTGGCCTTCCTGTTGAAATGGGGGAGTCAAAGCAACACTGAAAATCCTTGGCCTGAGTTTGTGTGGCTGAGGTGAGATCAGAGGCCATTGAGGCATTGTCCAAGATGGCGAAAGCTGGTGATCGCGGAGATCAGGTGGCCATCGCCTCTGTGTCCCGTTTCCTCACCCACTCCGACCCGGACTGCCGCGCAGCTGCAGTCTTCGCTCTGACGAAGGCAACACTGACAAAGTGCTGTAGATCCCCCCACGTCACCGCTTGGCAGCAGGTTGCTCGAGCTGGTGATCAGGCCGTTGTGTCGGCACTCAGTCCAGCTCCGAGAGACTTTCGACTGAGACTTCCGAGAGACTCCCGCGAGACGTGGGAGGATTTCTCCTTGAGGTCGGTGCTTGGAGAGCGACTGCGCTGTGGTCCAACGCTCTGCTGCACAGGCCCGGGAAGCACTTCTCCGCCGAAAAGCATCTGAGCTGTCTGCGATTGCTGTGCAGGCCCTGGGTGACCTTTCTGGACAGGCTGGGAATTTGTGTCCAGCAGGTGACATGCTGTTGAATTGTTCAAGCAGGCCCATCTTCGTGCAGTGGAGGAGCTTGAGGCCCGACTCTCAGAACATGGTACAGAGTGGAGAGCGAGCTCACTGCGTCAAAAAGAAGGCTGTCCCCTGAAACAGCCGTGCGTGCTTTGCGGACCTCCCGAGGCACAGTTGCTGAACCCCGATGCCAGCGTACGCGATGCAGCCACCGCATCCTTAAGGCAGCAGTGCCAGTTGCATCCGATGGCTGCAGAGTCCTCACATGTCTGCGATGGAAGGAAGATTCGTGGAATCAAGGCCGTCCCTGTCATTGTCCATGCTTGGCAGGCCGCATGAGCTTTGGGCATGTCATTCAGAGCCGGTCTCTCTTGGTGGTGGTCCGGGAGGTACAGAGGGATCGGCCTGTGGAATTTGCGAAACGGCGGCGTTCGCCAAGCCCTCCGACAGAGGAACGCTTTGTACATTTCCGACAGTTGCCATCTGAATTGAACCAGGAATGTGCTTTTCCTATTCAGATCGCTCAAGGATAGAAGGCTCGGATTCCTTCTTTTTCTATTTGGAATTCAGCTCTGCCGACCAAGCCGTGCGTGCTTGGGATTGCGGGCAGACTTTCAGGGGAAACCTCAGTGAGCTGCAGGGAAGTCAGTTGTCAGAAAAAGACTGCGATGAATCGTCGAATTTACCGCCCATTCGCCGGAATTACATTGCCAAATTGCGTGCATACACACTTCCGCAGTAGGAGTCCTCTCAAGGTCAGCCATGAACACAGCCATGTTGCCACGGACCTCTGCCTGTAGCCCAAGTGCGTTCAGCTTAAACACTCACTCGCAGCTATGTCGAGAGCAGGCATGCAGTCCTGGAATACCATGCAAAGCCCGGAGCGGTGTAAGTAAGAGGCTAGTTTTCCTGACCGGTGCTGATCGCAAGCCCGGCGCACCCCTGCCGACTCCAAGAGACCTGTCTGCCCTGGGTTCGGTTGCGATTACCTGACGTTTCAAAAGCACGGCGCCGCAGGCCCGACGTCAGCCTTGAGCTTTCTTTGCTCAGGAAGTCGCGCGGCGCATGGTTGGCGCCACACTGGCAGCCATAGGACCAGGTGTTGCCGTAGGCGCCCGGCCGGAACGCGCCAAAAAGAAAAAGACAAAGTAAGAGATCTTGCAACGAAGACTGTCAGTGTGCGTCTCCGTCCTGCTCTCGGCGCCAGGCCGAGCTTCGCACGTCTCTTACGAGGAGATTGCTCGAGAGGACTGCTTCAAAAGACCGGGAACCCCCGGGACTTGTCAGTCCGGTGCTCTGTGTCAGGACACACAGCGATGGGTGTCCTGCGATAACGAGGGCTACACAACGCTGAACCTTGCTGGCAAGTCTTGCCCTGGACAACAAGTGGACATCAAGCCAGATCTGCACTGGTTGCCGCCTGGACGCAGCCTGTGACCAAAACACAAAGAGATGCGGCGTGAAGATTGGGAGTCTGAGGTTGATAACGAAGCCTGATGGAGGCTACGAGCTCCAGCCAGTTAGTGTGTCAAGCTCGGCGCCCTCGGCAGTCGAGCATCAGCCAAAGTGTGCCACTGTTGCCGAGGCATGGTTCACCTTCGAACGCCCGCTGGCGACAGAAGATGATCCCGACGATGAAGACTTGGACAAGGAGGCGGAAGTGGATACTGGAAGCATGTCAGAGAATTGGGCCACTCAAGCTTGCACGTCCCTCTAGAATTTGTTTCCATATTCGGCTGGCATGAACCCAGCTGTCAGGCAATCACAGGTGCTCCTGAAAGGTTGCCAGCCAACCAATCGCGCAGTGCAAACCGGGTGTACTAATCAACAGCTTGATCCACAGCAGCTTGATGCTATGACGTGAGGTTCAGAAATGCCTTCCTGTGCAAGCCTCCCCCCGTGCTGATCTGAGGCAGTAAGAAGCGGAAGTCGGAGTTGCTGGGAAGACATTGACATACTTTTTAAATCCTTTTTGTGTCAGCATGCAGCGAACTTCGGACTTCGGGTTCGTCCCAAGGCACCTCGGTGAGGACGGCATGAAAAGAGATGGCTCCACGCGGCGGAACATCGACAACCGCTGGCAAGGGATGCTGGAGCGAGCTGTCCAGACCGGGCGCTGGCTTGATCCCGCAGGAGGTCACCCTATGCACACAATTTTATAGCAAGCGTGTCGGTTCGGTTCACCAAAGAGGTGCAGAACTGTCAGCTTTGCCCCAGCTTCTGATCTGCAAACCCAAGAGCCGCAGGCAGGTTCAAGCCCCTGTCATCTAAACCACACATCCCACCGTCGAAAGCACTCAAAGCCCATAGACTCGCCAGGAAGCTCGCGGATCCGCGAGCAGATTCTCAGCGACTTCCACCACACTGCGGATGGACTCGGGCCTCAGGCCACCCGGCCCGATGACTATCTTGCATGTGACCGCACATTCTTACGCATGGAGCCTGATGTTTTCTAATCCGCAGCCTGCGTACTGTCACGCTGGCCGCTACTTGTAGCTTGTTGCAAGGTTCTGAGCATCCTGAAGTCGGTGAACAAAGACCTCAGCGTGTTGTTGCTCGGCTGCGTACTCTCTTTCCAGTACTTCCAAGTGGCAGGGTTTCGCTTCTCACTGAACCCTAAACCCTAAGCCCCGTCACCCTTCATCTGAACATGCTTCGCGGAACTAGATGCTCTCTGGCAACTGTAGTATTTTCGTGAAGGTCGTCCCGTCCATATCCAAGGCATGCTTCCCCAATGCCCATGCATATCACGACACCCCCGACAATCCCAGAATATTGTGTGCAGAGATTAAGGTTTTCTGTAATTTTGAAGTTGTTGAACTGTTGGAGAACGGGTTTGCTTCAGCAGTGCGAGTTTTTTCGAACCTCGCCAGAGCTCGAGGGAATTGGGGAACGTCTGAAATCGTGGGATCGTGAAACTGTGCAAGGATGGAATTGTGGAAGTTTGCAGCTGCGCAATGATGAGATAATGAAAGTACGGAGCTATGGATATGGAACTGTGGAGTTGTTACATAAAAGGACATGGGCTGGAATTATGGACTTGGGGATTTGTGGAAGTGTTGCAAGTATGGGGTTATCGAACTATAGGTTGGTGCGGCTTTAAATTTTGGCATGCATGCATTATGCACCCACGTACCTATACCTTTCCCGGTCAGAAGCTGGGATCTTTAACAAAGTTTCGGCTGCAGGGGGGAGATCATCTGTCCACATATATGTATATACTGAATTTCTATCTATGTATGTCGGTATCTGTATGTGTATCTGTGTCTGTGTCTATATCTATCTCTGTATCGATATCTATGTCTATATCTGTTGTCTGCGTCTATATGTATGTCTATATCTGCATCTATATCTATATCGATATCTGTATTTATCTCTATATCTGTATCTATACCCTGGTCCGTATCTATATCTGTATCTATATCTGTATTTGTCTCTATGTCTGTTCCTATGTCTATATCTGTATCTATACCCATATCTGTATCTATTCCTATATCTGTATCTGTATCTATATCTACATTTTCCATATCTATCTATCTATCTGTCTATCTATCTATATATATATATATCTATATCTATATCTAGATCTGTATCCATATCTGTATCTATATCTAAATATCTGTATATCTAGAAATCTATATATCTATATATCTATTTTTATCTATATATCTATGTATCTGTATATCTGTATATCTATCTATCTATCTATCTGTCTATCTAGCTATATATCTATATATCTATATATCTATCTCTCTATCTCTCTCTCTCTCTATCTCCGTATATGTATATGTATATGTATATGTATATGTATCTGTATATATGCACACATGCAAGCACAGAGGCGTGCTCAGATGCACGTTGACCTTCACACCCGGATGTATTTCAATTCAATGTTCGTTGCCTTTTGAGCCCAGGCGCTGCCTGAGAGAGCTTGAAGGGCTGGAGCAGATGTCGTTTCAACAGATTCCTGGCGTTGAGTTATCCACGGCTTTGCCCAGAGGAAGGCATAAGTCATGGTGCACCTGTCATGGTCGGTGCAACACAGGTTATCTTCAAAGTTGGCAAAGCTAAGGAAGCAACAAGTGCGGACGGACCTGCTGCAACATCCTGGACAGTTGCAGCAGATGAACTGGGACACGGATGGCAGAATCTGTGGTTGCAACAGTTGTGGGACTCAGTGGGGTTGCTTTCCACGTTTAGCCAAGGCATCCTTAAATCAGTGGCGGAGCACCTGCACGAGAAGCGTGTGGAGAACCGCAGGTTGAAGGCGAAAAATAAGCGGGCGAAGGTCTGAATCTCGGAATCTCGATCTGCTTTTCGTGTGGTGCCATGCATCTTTCCTCGTTCTCTTGGTGGAAGTAAGGCCAAGAATCATGGGGAGGATGTAGATGTGCCTGAGACTGCCAATACCCTGAAGCAGCTCAAGTCTGAAACAGGCCATGACATCTCCTAAACCCTAAACCCTTGGTAGTGATGCTCGAGGGAGTTGGCTAACGATGTCCCATGCCTCTGCCATTTCAGCGCTCTAGCCCACGGCTTGCTGCAGAGACGAAAAGGGGCTTCAAAGCACAAACCCTGAGCCCTAAGCCCTAAGCCCTAAACACTACGCCCTAAATCCTAAACCCTAAACCCTAAACCCTGAGCCCTACAGCCCTGGCAGGCGAAGCCTTATGGGATTTTGAAGCTGCCGACGAGTTCTCCGACGATCAGGAGGACCATGGACCGAATTCGCAGCGACTCTAAACCCTAAAAGCCCTAACGCCCCTAAGCCCTAAACCCGAAAAACCTACGGCGCTGAACCGAACTCTTCCCTATACCCTTAAAACCCTAAGCCCTAAACCCTGAACCCTAATTTCGTATGGGAGGAGGATACGGAGGAGAAGCATCGCGAGCTTGTTGTGCCAGACGGCAATCAGGTCTTGGCTCCCGAGGAAGGAGCCGAAACCGACAGCCCCTCGGCCCATTCGGCCCTCGATATATATATATATATCTATATATCTATCTATATATATATATATCTATATCTATATATCTATATATCTATATACATATATATATATATCTGTATCTATATATCTATCTATCTATGTATATATATATATACATCTATATCTATCACTGTTTTTTGTTTGTTTCTGGCACAGGGTCAGTTTGACGCAGCCCTTGATCGATCGATTTAGATAGATAGATAGATAGATAGATAGATAGAAGATAGATAGATAGATAGATAGATGGATAGATAGATAGGTAGGTAGATAAATAGATAGATAGAAGCGTGTGTGTGTATACATATATATACATATATTTGTATGTCGGCATAATTTTTCACATAATTGAATAAATAAACATGTATGTATGTATGTATGTATGTATGTATGTATGTATGTAAACACGTACATATGTTGTTTGGAGAGAGGGAGGGTTTAGGGTGTATTTCTAAGATGGTGAGCAAGTGTGGAATGTAGCATTTCAGGACTTGGGTCTGCATGCTTTGGTCGAAGTGTGCCAGGTGATGACGAGATCCACATGTTGAGCAAGCACGGGCATGAACTGCAAGCCACTCACACTGCATCGAACATACTGTCTCATGAAGACCAGAGCTTTCATGGCTGTTCTCCCTTTGTTTCGCTTTGCCTCTCTCTGAGTGGATTCGCGAGGAACTGCTGGACCGGCAGAAGGATCCGGAGGACCAGGATGAGGACTCGCAGGAACGCCCTGTGCAGACGCACGCTTGACGCGCTCTACAACTTACTCTGTGCCGTTGCCAGGATGACCACCCGGCAAGTGCCGCACTTCGACAAAAATCGCAGCTCCACACCAAAGCGAGCAGTGCGAAGGCAAAGCCGAAGAGAAAGGCTTGAAGAAAAGTCGGTGTGATTTACTCGGCGAAGCTTGCGCTTGCTCAGTCTGTTCGAGACTCTACTCACTTCAGAGGTCGGATATGATGCATCACCGACTGCCGTTCAGGCATCCGTGCCTCGAAGATTAGAGAGGGAGTGGGTGACACATAGAAGGTCAATGGATGCATGCCCATTAGCAAGTCCTAAGAGGCCTAGCAGGCCTTCGCGTATTGCCGGCACCGGCGCCACACTTCCACCCAACCCATTTCATCTGCTTAGAGCTTCGTAAGTGCATAGCTCAGCTTAAGAGAGTAAGAGCAGTCGCAATGGCTTCCGAACGTGTGCGGCCATCTCAGCGCTTTCAGCGCCTGCTGGATCAGCTTTCTCAATGTCATGAAGAGGAGACATGGGATGAGGGTGCGCGACCGCTTGCGCCTCTGTTTTGCTTGTGTGGCATAAACGGGCTATGAGGAGCTGAATCGCACCGTGCCGACATGGCTCTCGGCAGACGTCGACAGGGTTCCTCGGTGCACCCGAACAAAGCGGATAGGTGAAGACCTGTGCCCAAGCCTTGCTGCGTTCCCGTGGTGGAAAGGTTCGCCACGAGCTGACCTGCCCAAAATGCAGCTTCAACTTGAATGTCGCGTCGTTGCCTCAGCAAGAACACTTGCAAGGACTGCTACTATGGTCTCGCAAGCCTCGTGAGTTTAGAGCTGAAACATGGTCTGAGGCTGCCAAATTCGGTGAACGAAGACGCGAAGTGGGGAACGCGTGTACGAGCGCCAGTCCATTCAGACACAATCTGTAGTGGTTCTGGCCAGTCGACCGCAATAGATGGCTTAATCGGCGAGCTCTGGGATTCATCGGACCTTCACTTGCAGAGTCTGGTCAACCAAGGCATCCGAGTGGAAGAGATCACTTCTCCTCCTGTGCCACGACCTGTAAATCTGTTGCTCCTCGTTCGCATACTGCCCGTGGTGCTGAGAGTACCACTGTGCTTCATTGAGTGTGCTCGCGGTGCAGAGTCTTTCCATGTCACTCCTGCCAGGACTGTGGCCGACGTGAAGCTGGCTTGTGTTGGGAGACACGCAAACAGCATGAACGGAAGGAAAGAGCGTTATGTGCCTGCATTTCCAACTTGCTGCTGCGAGGCGATGCCCCTGAAGTTGAGGGGGGACTTGGATACCTGGCGAGCATGTCAAGCGATTCGCAGCGTTTACGTAGCTATCTAACTCTCAGCTGCATCTGAGCCCCGTGTCGTACTTTGTTGTGAAGGCTTGCATCCTTCCACTGCATCGATTGTGTTGTTTGGTTTCCTAGGCACCACTGCCAGGTTAGAATAGTCTCCAATCTGCTGCGGCTAGCAAGCAGCTCCGCGCACGAGGATGCCACTCCACGGAGTTCGGAAAGTGATGTGTCCGAGCTGGAGGACGATCAGGCCCGCGGGAAGGGAGCACTCGGCCAGTGGCCGTTTTACTCCAATATGGGACAGAAAGGGAAGCAGCATCCTGCCAGGAGCCAGCAGCGCCGAGAATCACCAATGCAGTTTCCGGAGTTTCCGGCATCTCCGGCGTCACGTCACGCCGCTCTCGATCTCAAGGTGCAGAGCACAGCTAAGACACCGTTGCAGTGAGCGGCCTGCTGGACGACTGCTTGGGACTGCCGTGTGAGGTGCTGATGAGCGTTTTCCTCTGCGCCGCCTGTGGGCCTTGGAGAGCAAAGTGTGTCTTGGCAGAAGTCTCCGGTCAAGCCTGCAGCTGTTGTCCATGCAGCCCGCATCATACCTGTGCACTCTCAACTGACACGTCGTGGGAGCATCGGGGGCTCCTTCAACTTAGGACAACCATGCGTGTGACACGAAGAGCTGCTAGCAAAAGTGGCTCGCCAAAGATGGCTTCTATTCGATCTTCAAGGTTGACTAGACTAGTTCGAGTCGAAGAGTTGCTCTTTCATCTTGTCCCACAGATAGAACTGAGGCAAGTCCATTGAGTTGGAGGACACCCTCTCTGGTTCAGCACAGGCCTCACGGATTCTTCAAATCTCATGGCCCTTTGGGAGCATCCAGCTGTCTCAGGCACAACAGGAGTCTGAAGGCTACACCGCTGCCCCGGCCCAAGCTGAACCCCCCACTTGAGTCCGACATTACCTTGCAAACACCGAGGCCATGGCGGACTGGAGACGTCGCCTGATCTCCTACCCCAGCAGCCTCCACCGCTTGGTTTGGGACCGGGGACAACTCCTGAAAGCATCTGAAAGCCGAGAGCATCGTGTGGTAAATCAGCCTGAGTCATAAGGGAAGCGTGCGACAGGACATGATGGGAGGTCTCTTGATTATGTACGACCTCTTTGCAGTTCCGCTTCAAGCTTTCGAGCTGCTCGTCACGCAAACTAGCTGTCTGGCACAGGAGATGCGAGGGTGCTACTGTTCGATCGTGTGAGCTACTGGCTTTCTAAGTCCGCCGGAATCAACAGCGGGCCTTGCAATGGACTGGCCGCCGAGCGTGAACCAGCATGTCATGTGCAGCAGTGCGGCATTCCGGTAGCCCCCGGGCCTGGCAGACTTCGCAAGAGAAGCTGAATGGATGAGACCTATAAGGATCACGCTGGTCTATTGGACGATGAATGTGGGAGCTTCCCTTACGACTGGCTACGCCTTCACCTCAGCGCCCTCCAACATTTCAATCCAATTCTCCCCTCAAGCTTATTCTGCTTGGGACCACCGTCTCCGTTAAGAGCTGCAAAACAATTAGTCGTGATTAGTCGTGATAATAACTATAACAACCATCAAAAAATCAAAAGATGATGATCATTGCAATCACTGCAACTGCGCTTACGTAGAGCTTTTGCTAATGTCTTAGGTCGAGGAAGGCATCACGATCATGGACCCCTCGCTGATTGCCGGGGCCCTGTCTGCTCTGTATCCGCTTGTAGTGTCCACAAAAACTTCTCTGCCAACTGAGGTCCTCCGCTATCTGAGGACTTGGTTCGTAAATTGCCTGCAAGAGTTAGGTGGCTGCATGCTCACCGGTGTCTCCTTGTTGGGACGAGCTTCCAGGAGAATATCGCGCATGTGGGATTGACACGCTTGCCGAAGTAGGGTAGAACGCATTTCCACTTGGTCTGGTGTCGCCTTTCCAAGTCTCTTTTTGTTCGCACTACTACGTGTCAGCGTCATGGATGTATGATCCTCTTGCATTGGATGAACATTTCGAAGCTGGCCTTCAGATTGTGGACTTGGTCGTGCTTGGACCGGACTGGGCAGCAACCTTGGCCTCTGGTTCACCGTGTTCAAGAGAGTTGCCGGGCAAGTGCACCTGAGGTCTTCACCATCATTGCATCGGATTCTGGCAATGAGGTGCTCTGCTTGCTTCGTTCGGGAGAGAAGCTTTCCTGGCCTTGGCGCTTTGTGCAGGTGCGGATGCTACGGGTCGTGAGGCTGGAAGTCTGGGGCACTGAGCTTTGGGCGTTAGAGAAAGTGGATGCGAGCCCGAGCCGTGCTTTGTTGAAGGCTTGCGCGAGTGATCCGCGCCTCGCTGGCATTAGCTGAGCCTGGGAACCTCCGCCTGATGCTCGCTTAGCAGCATTGCTCTTGCTTTCCTGCAAGGCTTGTTGAGACTCGTACGCTTAAAGCGTGGCTTGGCTGCTTCCGGTCTCTTGGTCGTGCTGCGCCTTTGTGGTGTCACGACCTGCAGCCTGCAGGTTTGTTTGAGAAGATCGAAGATGCCCTCGATTCTGAGTACTACAGCGCAACCTGCCCTGCATTGATAGATGGAATGCTCAGTCCCGAGCCGTTCAACATGAGTCACATGGGGCTCAAGGTGCTCTTCAATATCTTCAAGATGATGCTGCTGCTCTTCACTGCCCCTTGGACTGGCCAATATGCCGGGGAAGGGGGGGCTCTTTCGTGCGCTTGCCACATGCAGCGTGCTCGGAGGTGAACCACGTGATTGCATGTGCCTGGTATGCGCTGGCAGATCTCGCTTCAGCGGGAGGACCCATCACAATTTCGAGTGGCCAGTCGTGCGAACTTGCCGCCAAGAGGCGCAGTGTCTTTCCGTTTTTGCAGGCGTCAACACGTGGGTTGACACATTGCGCCTCACAATGAGCTTAGAGTCTTTCGACTGGGTACATCTGTCCGGCTCTCAGTTGCTCTGGCCGAGAGGGCGTGACCCTGCATGTGCGGCTATGCCAAAACTGCACACAGGTACCTGGTGTCCCTGCACTGGAGCCTCACCCAGTTCACCCCAGCAGGTGCCAACTAACTGACGCGAACTTTGGCAAGTAGACTCGTGCACCCAAGCCCTAAACCCTAAACCTGTGGACTTTGTCCGCTGACCAGGCATGGACGTAACACCGACAAACGAGATCGAGCGGGGCTTCACGATCGGTGTTGTGATTTTTGCTCTGGTTCCGGCCCGAGGGATTCAGCGAGTCGCTTCTTTGTTCTTGTGTATCTATACATATAGAGAAGTACATGAAAAAATCAGTAAATATAAATACAAATATAAATAAACAAGTAAACAAATAGACACACACACACATATACATATCTATATATATATATATTTTATATGTGTATGTCTGTCTTTCTGTCTGTCTGTCTGTCTGTCTGTCTGTATGTATGTATGTATGTATGTGTCTGTATATATATATACATACATATGTATATATATATACACATATATATATACATATTGTGTGATATGTATACAACGTGTGTATATATATATAGGAGCATCTCCGAGGTCGGCTTTGCTTACGTTGTGGGAAGCATAACAGCAAGCCTTGGCCAGCTGCGCGCCATGTCCGAAGAGGCGAGGCAGCGATTTGTTGTGAAGCGCTGTTTGGCGCCCACGGTGCTCAGATATCGTTGTCGTCGTAGTAGTAGTAGTACTGGTGGTGGTGTTGGTGGTAGTAGTAGTAGTAGTAGCAGTAGCAGTAGTAGTAGTAGTAGTAGTAGTAGCAGTAGTAGTAGTAGTAGTAGTAACAACATCGCAAGGCCTCCAAGGACTTCTGGCAGATGCGGCGCTTCTTGAACCAGAACTCGGTTGACCACATACTTGCTGCACGAATCCAACGATGCCTGACAGCATAAGGACCTGAAGTGTTTGGGGCTTGAGGCATTTACCACTTCAATCAGCTAAGGATTCGTCGAGTATGCTTACACCCGGCAGCAAAAGACCATGTCCATCAACCAAGTGAAGGTCCTCTCTCTGCTATCCAAGCAGCTGTAGCTTGGCCAGTCGATACGTACTGTGACGCCATTGATCATGGGCCCATGGCAACTTCTGGCAATCTAAGGATGGAGGAGCTTCAGTCCACCATCAACCAGCCACACATGAAGCTCGCCAGAGTTAGTTTCGCCTAAACCCTCAACCCTATAAGCCTGAGCATGTTCAAATCCCTCGGACTCCAAGGAAAGTGCACCCTCTCTTCAACTTCCTCAACGAGCCGCTTTGCTTTCCGAAAAAGGGTACTACAATAGCACTTATGGGTAGTTTTCTAAAATAGGGTTCCTTTTGGGGTCCTTTTGAAAGAGTGCCGTACTTTATTGGGGACCGAAAACGGTACCACACTTTTGAGAACTACCCACTTATGGTAATGATCGCAGGAATAACAGTACTAGCAACAGCATTAACAGTAAGATTAGTAGCAATAGTTACAGCTCATAACAGCAATAATGGTAGTGCTAGTACTGACAGTAGATATAGTAAAAAACAATAATAGTAATAATCGCAATAATAGTAATTGTAATTGTTACAATAATGGTCATAATAGTAATAATCAGAATAATAGTGAAAATTTGCGCTATGGTAATAAAAGTACTAATAGTAAGAATAGAAATATCAATAGTGGTACTAATAGAAGTAGAACTAGTAAAAGTACTAGAAATAGTAAGAATTTGGAATAATGGTAGTACTGGCGCTCATCGTCGTCATCATCATAGCAGTAGTAGTAGTCTTCGTCGTCGTCGTCGTCGTCGTCGTCGTAGCAGTAGTAGTAGTAGGCGCCCCCCCCCCCTACCAACCACCTCTGCTGCCAAGCCTCTTAAGAGCACGTTTTACTCGGTATTTACGGTACGTTCGTCTGTCACACCACTTCTTCTT